GAGTGGACTTAGGAGCGGCCTCACTTCTTCTTGGGTTGATAGTCTTCCCATAATGAGGTTGTCCCGCTTGGGGCGGCCTCATGGATGGTGGCTTCGGCCAACCGTCGGGGCGTCGCGGTTGTATGCGAGAGCGATCCCGTGGCGTCCCACATGGCGGCAGGGGGGGGAAGTTGGGTTTTAGTGGGTATGCCGGTCTCATTAGCCGGAGAGTCTCCACATAACCACCCCGGGGGAAGTCGGGTGGTATCCGTAATAGGATTTCCCAACTATAAAAAAAAAAAAAAAAAAAAAAAAAAAAAAAAAAAAAAACAAAAAAAAAAAAAAAAAGGTGTTGCTCGTCACAGATCCCGCGTGCCCTCTGAAACAAAGATTTTCCCACGGTAGCTAACTGCGAAGGGTGGTGGTGAGATTCACCATTCAAGTACCTATCAGTTTATTAAAGTGCTGTGTTCATAAAAACTATAATTCATAAAAGCAAACAGGTTACAACAGTAGATCGATTTCAACTTTCATTGGCAGGTAGATTTAGGCTATAAAAACGAAGTAAGTCTTTACACTACTTATAATACGATTACAGGCGTCAAACAACATGTTAAATATGTTCATATATTTAAAAGTCTAGTGAAAGTTAGAAGGATTTTAAATCAAAATAAAAGCTTCATTTTGTGCTTTGATATATTTATTTGAATAAAAACCAATAACCGTTACATATAAAAAACATAGTATATAAATGTAAACATTAAGAAATAACAACTCAGCATAAAACTTACATGCATTTGTCAACAAGCATACAATGTTTAGATCACACCAAAAATTGCCTCACACAGGATTGGAATGTACGACCTTTGATTGTTATTTACAAAATATGTTCATAATAAAAAAAACAGTCAAGAGAGAATCGGATTCTGTACCTATCACAATATATGACATATAGATGTCTATAAATAATATAGAACTATATATTCCATAGAAATAAAATCCGTACGATCGTGACTCACACTTGACTAATTTTTATTATTATTGATGTTCGCGATGAACAAAAGAAAGATTTGGATATCTTATCAAAGACCTCAACAGAAATATTATGTTTTTATTTGTGTTTAGTGCAAGAAGTAGAATGAGGGGTGTGTTTAGGGCCTTTCACTAATTACGTAAGGATAATTTTGGCGATTTTGGACCCCAAACGAAATTGAATGTACAATCAATGCAAAATAAAAAAAAAATATATGTGAAAGAATCATTTTTTATATTCGAAATGATAAAAATAAAAATAATACGTCAGAAGAATTGACTATAACATAATTATTATTTATAAAATTTAAAATTGATGAAAATGAACATATTTAAGATTTTAAAATTTTAATAAACAATAAAATTTTGTAAAATAATAAATAAAAATTTGTAAATCGAAGTGCAGAATATGGAATGAAGAAAATCATTCAGCATCCGAAATAGAAATACATTTTTATTAATAAATTTAGACTTGTAAAATATTATGTAAGAATGGGTTTTACCCCATCACAAAATAAGGGCATGTATAGATTTTACGTAATTTATGAATGGCCCCTTAGATTAAATTAAATTAAAAAAAAATAGACAGTTAAATGATGTATGATCGACGTAGTGAGTGACAAAGTTGTATTGAGTAGTTTCATTGGTCGAGTGTATGGCTCGACATAAAAATATAATAAAGCGCCTTATGCAGAAGGCAATAGGGTCGACGATAGGAAATCTGGCGTCGACAATTGGTTTTATTTGAGGGTTGATTTTTGAACCATAACCCAACAATTTTGACATTTGTATAAATAATATTGTTATTATAATAAAGCATTTCAATAAATCCTTCAAAAACCTGTTCTAGTAAAATATTATTAGAAAAAAGATAAAATATTCTAATAACCAGATATATTTTTAAAAGTTTATAAAATCTCTGAATAATTATTTACATTACTTCATTTTTCATTACAAGAAGTGTATAAAACTGTACAATAACAACATTTTGCCCACAAAAATGAACAATAAATGCTTAGAATAAAGTTTTATAAAAAATCTTATTAAACTATTATTGGCATTAACAAAATTCTCTTAAGTTCATAATTTTAACAATGATAGATACAAATTATTATTCAATTAAGGCCCTTAGTTACTATTTTACGAACATATATGTACATTATTATATGGCGTAGAAAAATTCTAGAATTTTTTTAACCGACTTCAATAAAAGGTAATAATCAATTAGTCTGTATTTTTTGTTTGTATGTATGTTATGCGATATATTCGCAAATTATGAGCCAATTTTCGTAATTTTTTTTTTATTAATAAATTATACTCTAAGGATAAGTCAATGAACACAATACCATTATGTTAAAAAGCAATTAATTAATTGTTAAGTCATAATAACAAAAGTTTGTATAATTTAAGGCACTGTATTTATATCTCTTACATCTATAATCTATATACTATTATAGTTTTGTTTAGGCATGGGATCGCGAACAAAGAAAAATAGCTTAAAATAAATATCAATAGATGACTTTAAATGTATCGATTTGTTATTAAAGTTGTGTTAACTTAAGTAAATATAAAAAAAAAGATCACAAAAAGGTGTATTATTATTTTAATAAATATTCCAAGTGAAGTGAAGCGATATAAAGCGCCCGTAAATCAAATGTGCGTAATTTTACTGTTTATTGAAATATCAGCAATCAGATGAAGGGTTTGTAGTGTATATTCATAGATGGCGCTTTTGTTTTTTATGAATTGTTTACGACGGTTAAAAATTGTTAAAATCACTGTTTTTTTTTATTCGAATGCAAGATAAATTTTACAATATTTAGTATTAACCATTCGTTAGTTTGCACATATTTGTATTAAAAAGTTTAACTATTTGCGAATCAACGACATCTATTATCTATTCAAGCAAACAAAGATAGCCCAAAGAATAGCCCGAATTAGCGCTGTCCAATTTCTTTGTATGGGATCAGGCGTCTGTACTAGTATATATGGCATGTTTGGCTCAGTTTGTAGTGACCCTACTTGCAGTGCCAGCGGTCGCGGGTTCGAGTCCCGCTGGGGGCACTCATTTGTGTGATGAGCACGAATGTTTGTACTTTAGTCATGGGTGTTTATATTTATAATATGTATGTATTTAAAGTTATATATGTGTAGTGTATCAACTATCTGGTATCCATAACACAAGCCTCGTAGCCATGGAACTAGATGGCGCTGTGTCTTAATGTCCCAACATATTTATTTATGTATGTGATCTGTGGTATTAGCATATATCAGTGTATTTTAGCCCAGTATGCTTTTGTGATGGTTGGTTTATAAAGTTTTTTTTTGGGTATAGCTTAAAGTTATAAAAAAAAACAGAACATATTTAGAGTTCAGCAGACCAATGGCGGATGGTATCATTAATTATGTAAGATTATTTATAAATACCTACTAAAGTTTATGATTGAATGTGTTTGTAACTTTTTAAGTTGTAAAGCTTAATTTATTCTAGTGTTTGAAAAGAGCTTCACTTGTATAAGCTCATAACAGCTTATTTTTTTATAGATTACTTTAATATAATAGTTATTGATTGACTTTAAATTTAATGCTCGTCTTTAATAAAATGTTAAATTTTATGATAGTAACTAAATAACAAGGCAGTGGAGTAGCCCAGTGGTAACGCACTCGTTTGGGAAACCGAGTGAAGCGGGTTCAAATCCCGGATCTCGCACATCTGATATTTTCATGTGCAGATCATTTCCAACATGATTACTATTTACTACACTTAGTCTTACTTTGAAGGAAAACATCGTGAGAAAACCTGGATATCTGAGAGAACTTAGCAAGTTTTCGAAAGATATGTGAAGCCCGCCCGCATTTGGCCAGCGGCAGCTCACCAGGCCTGATTCCCCTTATAATAAAGGAAGGCTCGTGCCCAGCAGTGGGACGTTAAAAAATTGCTGAATGCACAAATACACATACATACACACAACTAAATATTAAAAAAAATCAACCAATAAAAGCATAATATAACGACAAATGTATAGAAATCGGTATTTACGGGTTGTCAACATTTCATTTTCAATTAGATTTATATTTAAAATTAATAACATAATAATAAAAACGTTTTGTAAACATAATTTAATATAAGTACTTAAAATCATTATTTTTGATAAAAATAATAATGAAAATATTAAAAAAACGACTTGTACTTGGTGCAATAAAATTTTAGAATAAACATTTTAAATGGAAATATTCAATTATAAAATATGTTTGATTATAAAATATTTTTTAGAATACATAGGAATATTATAAGGCTGATAACAGGTCATTTGGTCAAACGACCAATACTTGTTGTACTTTAGAGTTTTTTCCTTTCGGAGGCGTGCCATAACAAACACTGTGACACGAGATATTTATATATTAGATAAAATTGCCATTTATAATTCAATAATTTCGTATTATAAACTCTTTCGGTAAATCAGTCGTTTGGAAAAATTAAAGCACTAACACGATGATATATAAGAAATATTTATGATTATTTTTTAACTAAATATGTACATCAACTTTTTCCCCTTATTATTGAACATATTACAGTTTTCCTAATAAGGAGGTTTTAACTTAAGAGCATATGCATTGAAAAAATATCCATATATAAAGGTCGATTTAGATATTTAAAACAAATTTAAGGCATTTTGAAATCAGTGAACTTTTATTAAATATAAACTGATTAAAGTAAAAAAAACGAAATATATAAACCTAGCTATCGTGTTTTAAACAATTAAATAGTATTTTTAGGCAATCTTTCTAGTTAGAGAATTTAAGTCTGGGCGAAAATGTCAGCTGGAACTAGTCTTTCAACAACAGATATCACAGAAATATTGTGATTTCGTATATAGAAAACAAATAAAAAATACTACAAAACACATAATAAACAACATAAAACAAATAATAAAAAACTTATAATAATTTTGACTTATTATATATTAATACTTATTAAATATACATCAACAATACTTAGCTCTCAAATCCTTTCGTAATATCTTCCCCGATGGATTCTTAGGTATGGTGTCAACAAATTGAACTTCTTTGATTCTTTTGAAAGAAGCAACTTGACTATTAACAAAATCCAGGATTTCCTTGCCTTTTAAGTCTTGACCTGGTTGAAGAACTACAAACGCTTTAGGGACCTCCCCGGTTATAGGGTCTGGGATACCTAATATAGCACAATCTTGAACTTTGGGATGGTTTCGGATAATCATTTCCAATTCTGCAGGTGGTACTTGGAAGCCTTTTACCTGTAATGGTTAAACAAGAATTAAAAATACAATGCAAATTATAATTAGGGGGAAACTCGTCTAACTATTGAGTGGAGTCAAAACATTATAATTTCCTCATAAATAAATTGCCAGAGCAGCAAATTTTTTGACATATAGCAGCTACATAGGAGACTTTGTCTCTTCTTCTCACTTTCTTTCTCTTTCTCTCTCTCTTTCTGTGTGTGTGTGTGTGAGTTTCTTGCTCTTCTATTATTCCATTCACTCCTAAAGTTTGTTGGAACGACACTAATATTCACGATGAGATCAGACGCAGGTGCTATTACGAATTTCTTGACAATAAAAAACCAATAACTACCCATGATCCGACTCGGCACTTAAACCCAAGACCTCCTGAACTTCACTCATAATTATTAGTAATTTTAAAAACAATAATTACCTTAATAAGTTCTTTCAATCTATCAGTGACATATAAATATTTATTCTCATCATATTTTCCGATATCGCCGGTTCTATACCATCCGTCGTCGGTGATCACTTCTTTAGTTGCTTTATCGTTTTTATAATAACCAACCATTAAATTTGGTCCTCGATACCATATTTCTCCTTCCTGAAAATAATATCTATCTAAATATATATTATTCTTATGTACGTGTGTTTGTAACCTTCTAAAGGTCTGGACTGATTTGGATGAAATTTAGATGGTTTGAAAATACAATTGCACCAGTAGGTGGCGCTGCTGTTGGCATGTCGATTTTAATGATATTTTTTGTGTATTTTTGAGGGGGGTCCCCGCAAGGTTTAAATTTATAAATGGACCCGGTAGGTGACGCTGCAGTCGGTGTGTCCAAGAGTTTCTTTTTTTAGTTAATTAAGCGCGGGCGAAGTCGCGGGTACTGCTAGTATATAAATAAAAATGAATCGATAAATGTGTTACTAAGAGCAAACTCGAGAATAACTGGACTAATTCTGTAATTATTAATTAAATTAAAAATATTTTATTTAAATATTCGTTAAAGGTTCTTATGAAGAGAAAAAAAGGAAAAAATGCTCGGAAACACTTAAAAACACAATTTTTCTCATCAGGTCTGCTACACACTTGATTTGCCGAACGAGGTCAGTCGGGTCAGCTAGTCTATACATATAATAAAATTCTGAGTCAAATCTGTACATTAAATATTTTTTGGGAATATCATTGAAATAATCATTATTATTGATACAGAGACCGAATTAATAGTTTTTAGAATTTTTGTCTGTCTGTCTGGGAAAGCATCACGAGAACACTACAGGACCGATTTTGATAAAATTTGCTATGATTATAGCTGGTTATCCGGGTCAACATAGGATACTTTTTACTGCGGGTAAATACCTCATCTATGAGAAATCTGTACTAAACGTCAACTATATAAATACTATTATATTTCATTTAAAAATATCTTACAAATTAGTTTAAAATCTTTAATTAATCTGTTTTTACAAACACTAACCATTGTTTTAAATCATTATACAAATTGAATGTTACAAGATAATAGAACAAAATAATGAATCACGTTTACAAAAACGTGCATATCTATTAAGGATAAAAACAACAAATCCTTAGGCACGTAATAATATCATAACTCACGACCTTAATATTTACTACTATAACATCTTAAGGCAGTGGTAGCTCAGTGGTTACGCGCTCGCTTGGGAAACCGAGTGAAGCGGGTTCAAATACCGGGTCTTGCACCTCTGATAATATGAAGTGCGAATCATTTCTAACACGATTACCACTTGTCTTACGGTGAAGGAAAACATCGTGAGGAAATCTGCATGTGTGGGAGAACCTAGCAAGTTTTCGAAAGATGTGAAATCCACTCCCGCGCCCAGTATTGGGACATTAAAATGAACTGAATACACATAACATTTATTAGTAAATACGCTTGTTGTTACACTTGTATTTAATAACAAATAGCGTTTTCCAGTGACTTCGCCCGTGTAATTCAAATATATTGGCTTTAAGATTTCCTCGCGATCAGCGATATTTTCCTTCACCGTAAAACACATGGTTTTCGTGTTGGAAAAAGGGTCACTCCTTTAGGTCTTAGGATAATCAAATTTAATATAATTTAAGTAGGCCTATTTCTTTACTATTAATATGTATATGGCTTTAAAAAATATTGAAAGAGAAAGCATTGCTCAAACGCGAAAACCAAGGACAAAAACTAGCCTATACTTATAATAAAATTGTAACTAAGCCGAATCTTAAATATTTTTTAAATAAACATTTTTTGAAAAATCTTATTGTAATAGACATTATAATCGATACAGAGGCCGAATCTATAGTTTTTAGAATTTGTCTGTCTTAGAGCGCACCACGAGAAAACCACTGGACAGATTTTGATGTGGACAATGATAGCTGGTTATCCGGATCAACATTAAGGATACTTTTTACTGAGCGAAAATATCTCATCTCTGAGAAATCTATACTAAACAATAAAACGTAAATAAGAACGAAACCGAGCGGAACGAGGGTGAGTCGCTAGTCTATACGGATAAATAAAAGTGTGTTTGTAATGTAAAAATAACAGCGTTTTACTAAATGCATATGAAATTATATACTGTATTTATAAGAAAAACACATTTTTTATTTTTTTTCTGTATGACTGTTTCTTCCGGATAATCTCTGAAACGGCTGGACTCATTTTGACGCGACTTTCATTGGAAGATAGCTAATGTTATAAGGAGTAACATAGGCTTCTTTTATTTTAGAAAAAGAATTAGGGCTCCGCTCAAAAATATCAAAATGTACCTAGGGAGGAACCCGAGCGAAGCGAAGGTGAGTCGCTAGTTCATTAATTAAATTATATCCCACCTGTCCGGGTCCTAAAGCTTCTAAGGTGTTCAGATCCGCAATTTTCACTTCCCCGCTCGCAAACACGTGACCAACTGCCGAGTGATTCGTATCTATGTTGTTACCAACAGATACACCCCCATTGGTCTCTGTTAGACCATAGCCTTGTCGAAATATTATATTTTTCTGAAATATATGTATAATAACCATGAATTAGTAATAATATAAATACTAAAGCAAGTTTGTTTGTTTGTTTTAAAAACTTAAGCCATCGTATTTAAAGCAATGCTTACTAATATTATAATTGTGAAAGTAATTCTGTCTCGTTTTCACACCTAAACCGCGGAATCAATTAAGAAGAATTTTGGTATAGAGATAGATGGGACCTTGGAGAAGGCTACTTATTGTCGTGAAAGCTAAACTTCAAGGGGGTGATTCTGGTATATTATATTTATAGAAAAAATAAATAAAGAGTGATATGTTATAACGAAGATCAAGGGAAGCGAGTGTGGGAATCTATACTAAATATTACAAAGAGGTAAAGTTTGTGAGTTTGTGACGTTGTAGGGTGTAATCTCTGGATCTACTGGACCGATTTAGATAAAATTTGGCATGAAGATAGTTTGAGATCCTGGGAAGGACTTTTTATGCCGGAAATCATCCCTCAAGGCGTGAGAATGGGGATAATGGGGATAAAAGTTTGTATGGGGAATCAAGCTAGGGACGAACCCGAGCGAAGCAAGGGTGAGTCGCTTGTATTATTATAAATGCAAAAGATACAGAGGCGCATTTAAGACATATTAAATTCCGTGTGTCTATTTATTATTTTTATACGTGATATATTTGAATAGTACTATACATTAACTTAATACAATTATTTTAAAAGTAGTCCTTTCTTTCTTGCAGGTATAAGTTTTAATTTAATTATACATATTTCATTGGCTTCAATAGTTTTTAACCGCGAAAACAACTCATAAAATATAAAGGCGCCTTCTGTAAAAGTGCACTACGAAATTGTTAAGTAATTGCTGATATTTCACTAATTAATTATGAAAGTTAGGTAAATTTGATTTACTGGCGCCGTATTTCATTTTCCTTTACTTACAGATTTCTGTATAATATGTATCTATTTATAGAATTGGTATAGGTATATGGCATTAAATTTTTAAAAGATATACTAATATTACTAGTATTATAAAGAGGTAAAGTTTGTGAGTTTGTGACGTTGTAGGGTGTAATCTCTGGATCTACTGAACCGATTTAGATAAAATTTGATAAGAAGATAGTTTGAGCCCCTGAGAAGGACATAGGATAGTTTTTATCCCGGAAATCATACCTCAAGGGAGTGAAAATGGGGATGAAAGTTTGTATGGGGAAGCAACCTAGGGACAAACCCAAGCGAAGCGAGGGTGAGTCGCTAGTACTATATGAAAAAGTGTACCCTATATAAAAATATTTGATTTATCCATTTATATTCCTCCCAAAATTCAAGTGTACACTAATTTTTTACATTAAAAATACTCTACATATTATTCTACTACTACTACTTATTATCATCAAATATTTTCTCAATTGTTTACTAATACGATATCGCATGATATAAAAGCAAATAATCAAATCGTTATCAATAAAAATATATATAAAACTTTAGATATAAATCGTACAAGAGGTCATTTTATCGTATATTATTAACATTGAATGATGTCTGATAAGATATAAATTTGTTATTGATCTGCAAGAGATCAAAGGAACACTTCTAAAATATTATGAAAATTATTATTTTGTACGCAAATAAAGAACATACTATGTATATTTAAATTAATTAATTTAAAGTATGAACAAGCTGAAATAAATATTATAAGTTTTGTTCATATAACGTTGAAACCGTTTAAAACAGGATAAGTATTAAGTTATGTCAATTAAATAAAATTAACTTATATAATTCTTATACTATATATTACTTATATAATATTACTTGTACATTTTTATTAATACTTTTATATAAACAACACACAGCCTGTTACCATAGACTACATATCCATATATTCGTCTAACGAAAATGTCTAAACAGTACAATGAGGTGAAAACGCTGTTTAGGCGCTCCCGAATATCGTACAAACTTTTATGTGACATTCGGGAAACGCCTATAGGATTGACACGTATAACTATAATTTGCCACTAGCTGACATTCCAGTGATTTAATTTCGATACCCTTGGCCATAAAAGTGGTATATTTACAACGCTCACGTATGATGAGATACACAGTGCTTGAACGATAACGATACGATTTTCACTAAGCAGTATTTACTTACATTTTTATTTAAAACAGCGGCCGCGTCGTTATTAGATACAGGAGCAGCACCGCACACCATGCCTTGGACAGATTCTAGATGATGAGGCGTAACGGCTGGATGTTTACCCAAGAAAAATACTAGAAAAGATATTATTAAACTAATATTATAAAAGATTTGTCTGTGTTTACAGATAAATAAGGTTTCCTTTCATGACCAAAGCAATGAGTCGATTTTGATCAAATTTCGGTATAATTAGTTTCGGGCTAGATATCCTTGAAAGGCTGGCTCTAGGAGAAACGAAGTATTGCGGATCAAGGGTAAAAATTGTTTATCAAATAGTGAGATATCACAAACATTATCTCTTATCGAATACTTTATTATATATAGGTAATGTTTTTCTCAAACAAATTTTATTTTTTAGTAATAAGTGAAATGCTTATATTCTGCTGTGTTTTTATATGGTCTTGAATAAATATTTTGCGTTTTAAAATTGGATGTTGGCGTATATTCCAGCCACATTCAAGCATAAAACTAGAAATTTATCATTATACATAAGCTAGAATCTAGACAAATAATAGAAAATAAAAAAAACATTTTTGTACTTTTTAGTTTTTTTGTAAGGTGTTATATTTTTTAACATATTTTTCTTCTCTTTGACTATCCGGCCTGTAGTTTGTAACACAAAGTATACTTAATAAGACAAATAATAATAAAAAAACAAAACAAACATACCCATAGGTGGTACAACATACAAATGATTTGCTTTAAAGCGTATTAGAGAATCCAGAAACAAGTCAGGCTTGAAAGTAGGCATTGTTACCAACTTAGCGCCTCTCCCCATTAAATTTATTAAAAGTGCGTTAAAACCAAATATATGGAAAAATGGCAACACTGCTGGTATTACGGACTGGAATGATGCTGTAAAAATAAATAAAATATTTTGTAATTATAATTTATAAGGAAAACAATATTTTATTATTCACATAGTACAGATGGAGTTAAATTGAGGGCACGTCACTAATCCATACTTCCATATCCATACTAATATTATAATTGTGAAAATGATTTTGTTTGTCTGTCCTTCTTACACGTCGAAACGGAGTGACGGATCGGCGTGATTTTTTGTGTGGAGATAGTTAGAGGGCTGGAGAATGACATAGGCTACTTTTTACCGCGGGAGATTATCTAACTCCCTCGGGAAAAGACGTTATAATACAATTAAAAAAAATATAATCAGAATTACTTGAAACTTGGTATTAATGGTCTTCAATAAAATTAAATTAATACGTGTTTTATCATTTTTCGAAATTCTATAAGGGGGTAAAATAGGGGATGAAAGTTTGTATATAAACTACAGTTTTAGGGATTTCTGTTCTAGTTTTAGCGAGAGCGAAGCCTCAGGTTCTGCAAGTTATTTATAAACAACTTACCAGTAGCTTCTTGAACAGCAACAACATCAGGTGAAAAAAACATCTCATTCATCGCATTAACACCTTCATGCGTTAAGACTACCGCTTTAGGGAACCCTGTAGTTCCGCTTGAAAATGGCATAATAGCCACATCTTTTCTTTTTCTATTTACAGTTTTCAAACAATCAGTATTTACTGTCAAATCTTCTGCAAATTCAGCAAATTTAATAGTACCCTCTGGTAAATTATCGTTATCTATTAATATAACAGGGATTTTAACTTTCATTTCTTTTAAAGCTAGCGCTATGTTGGGGTACGATAATTTTGAAGATACAATCGCTTTGCATTCAATTAATTCTAGTTGGCGTTTTAATTCATCTGAAACAAGAATTTTGTGGCATATTATGCAGTATAGTTTGGTTTCAGAAATTATGAATTTTATATGAAAATATTATAACATTGGTCCTTCGAGCTGGATTAAGTGTGTTTTAAAAAAAATACTTACTATTATTTATGGCATGCAAAATCATAAAGAATAATGAAATTTAGTGTCTTTGAACATAGATTTATTAAAAACAATTACTAAAACTGTAAAACAAACATTAACATACATTACGTTTTATTTTAATAAACTAAATTTTTATAGTAAAGCAAAAGTATGAGTATTATTAATTTAACACTTACGAACTGTGTATACTGGGTTCATCATACTTGCTATTCCCCCCGCCTCCATAATACCTAACACCACACATGGATATTCCGGTACATTAGGTAAGATTACTGCGACCGTATCGTCATTTTGCAATTTCAACTTATTACGTAAGGAAGCGCCGAATGAAATCGACATTCTGTATGTTTGCGCGTAAGTATACCCATGGCCGGTTACAGCACATACCTATAATTAAAAAAATAAAATTACCTGTAAATAATATTTAAAAATTTTAATAAAAAACAAATTAATCGAATAAAGCTATTTTCATTTTTTTCCGGAATCGCTACTTCATTTAACCTTGAAATAAATTAAATAATCACAGTGTTACATTGCAGTTCACTTCCTTAGTTGAAAAAGTTATAATATACTAGGTTTTATCAAGCACTAGTACGTTCAAGATGATTTCATATACCACCAGTAATAGTCTTATAAGAGTAATCTTTAAGGGACCCTAAATGGGATAAGCCTGTAATTTTTTAAACCATCAATTTAATATGCAAAAAAAACAAAGAATTTCATTTTTATTTACGTAGCTATAGGGTAATTTTTGAAAAGCAAATCGTAATTAACATTATGTCTGTTAATAAATATAAATTCTTTCGTAATTTCGTCACGCAAAAAACACAATGTACAATTTATTTTTTTGCTGCGCTTAATTCTACAAATATGACGTCATCGTCTAACCTCTAAGGTTTAGAATAAATTTTATATGGGTATTTTAACCGACTTTAAGAAGAGTCTATTCTCTTATTTATGATTGTCTTCGATGTCTACGATATCAAAATCATTTTTTAGGGTCCCGTACACGACGGGTACCAACGGAAACTTTCGCTTCGCAATTCTTGATGGAACAGGTGTTGCGAGTTCATCTCCTTCAGTAGGAACCGATCGAAACATCATACATAGGAATTTCATCTACATCATCCATCCTCTTCTTTCTCGATTTTAATATATGTTTGCTCGAGAACAGTCTTCGTTTCTTCCTCTTCACCCTATCTAGTGATGAGCGAAGGAGAATGTGATAAATATTGTAATAGTGTATTGCATATAGTTTAGGCCTATTGGGATAGGATACTACGATAAAAAAACGCGCCACTAAATCTACCTCAAAGTGAGGTGGAATGAGTTTTTAAGCCAAAACGCACGTTGAAGTACACTTTGCGGCGCTCATACGCCAAAAAACAATTAATTTTACAAAAAAAATGTTTGTACGTACATTGTAGGAAATTTTCTCCAGTTTAATTTTTACCGGAAAATTACCCGAAATGGAGATGTCAAAAAACTGCCATTAAGCGTCATTTTTCCAATATCGCGGCCCGGGCGGCAAAGATACGAGGTCGGAGTTGGCAAAATTAAATTTAAATTCGGAAAGAACACATTGAAATCTATAAAATCACCAATTTTCAAAACTCCCGGAAAACTTTCCAGGTAAAACAACCAAATGACTGGGCTATAAGCTCGCGTCCGATAGTGACTTAGTTGTACGTAGGTACTATTCAGTAAATATTAAGTAATAAAATTGTTATACAAATTATACATATAATAAACCATTAGTTAAACTATAATTAAAGAAACTTATCTTAAGTTGTATCTAAAAATTAATATTAACATTACGCAAAAAATGTAAAAAAAAATTGATCGTATTTGTATTCCCATTAAAATAATTATTACGTATAACGATTTTTATGTAGATTTATGATAATATGTTCATTCATATTATATTAAGTATGTTCAGATGACCAAAAACCAAATTCTTAGGTTTTACATATACGTACACTCGTACATTGCAGTTTTTGTATTTTTTCTCAGAAATGAGATATTTTCACGCGGTAAAAAGTATCCTATACGTTGACCCGGATAACCAGCTATCAGCATACTAAATTTCATCAGCTTCCCTCCAGTGGTTTTTCCGTGATGCGGTAACAGATAGACAGACAGACAGACAAAAATTGTAAAAACTATCGATTCGGCCTCTGTATCGATAACAATATCTATTTCAATAAGATTTTCCAAAAAATATCTAATGTACAGATTCGGCTTAGTTACAATTTTATTATATGTACCTATAGATGTAGATACATCTCAGCATGTTGTGAATTAGAGGTAGAATGACACTTTTTTATCTATACTATAATAAAACTGTAGAGGTCGAATGTCTGTACATAGAAAAAAATGCTAAAAACTGCGTCAGGGGGATGTAAGAAGACAAATAGAACAAATCCAGTTTTTTTTTTCAAATCTTTTATTTCTCTGTCTGTTTGTCTGTTTATACGGGCTAATCTCCGAATCTATTGGACCAACTTAAATGAAATTTTGCCTGGTGGTACCTTATATCCCCGATCAATATCTTAGATACTTTTTATCCCGGAAAACTAAAGAGTTTCCGTGGTATAGTTAAAACTTACTTATACAGCTTAGTACACAACAACTTATGCACCTAATTTAGTAAAATTTAACATTCTGATACCTTATATTTCCGGTCAAACAGCAGGTTACTTTTTATCCCGGAAAAATGAACGGTTCCCGTGGGAACTAATAGATCTCTATTAGTGTTTTTCTAGAAGCGAACCCGAGCGAGGCGAAGGTGAGCCGCTAGTCTATACTAATATTATAAAGAGGTACAGTTTGTGAGATTGTGAGTTTAAGACATTGTAGGAGGTAATCTCTGGATTTATTAAACCGACTTAGATGATAGTTTGAGACCCTGGGAAGGACATAGGATACTTTTTATCAAGGAAATCATCCCTTAAGGAGGTGAAAATGGGGATGAAAATTTGTATTGGGAAGCAAGCTAGTTTAAATACCTATACAGCTACTGTTGACTAATACCTTAAGCCATACTTCTATGTACTAGACCAGAAGGTACCCGAGGTAGTGAAAATTTTCAGATTTTCTCAGACTGGCTTATCAAAATTATCATTCCATTTAGCTTCAAAGGCTAGTGACATAATTTATTGAAAATCTTAAATTAAAATTATTAAAAATTAACATTCATACAAAGCTAAAATACTTACAGTACAAGTTTTATCTGGCCACCTATCCAAATTCTGCCATGTGAAATCCCTCACTGTTTGATTAGTTACTTTTATATCTTTATGAATTGACTTAAGTATATTTGCTTCTGTAGTTTTTGGCCTAGATGAATGTAGTGATAATTTCCCTTTATTCACCACTTGGTATATGGATCGTCGAAAAACACTTGCCATTGCTGAGAAAAGGAAGATCACTACATTATTTGACTATCTTTTAAATAACAATAAAATATAAAACAAAACACTTTCAATGAATAGATAAAAATACTGCATTGATAATAAGGTAAGTAAATATGTACACAAAATGCAAATAATAGGTATTATTAATTACTTACCAAGTCGTCAGACAAATAAACCAATAAAAAAACTATTTTTATTTTTCTGAGTTACTTACTATCTCCCTCTCAAATTACTAAAACGATGTGTGAATAAAAAATTCACATAAAAAAATGTTGATATTAATATAATAAACAATCAAAATTACAATTTACCTTAAAATTATTCTGAGCAAAACAATAGTTTAAAAGTGCTTTATTGCTTGCCTGCCCGAAATAAACACTAACTGCACAACGGTCAAATGTGAACTAACGCAATTATCCAATAAATAATTTGTTAACATAGACTTTGAACTGGTGAATAAATTATTAGTAACAAGGAATAATAGACGCAAATGGTAACTGGTTTCATTACAGCAACACATACATTAATAAAACTTATATATACTTTATATTTTTAACGGAAACAAAAAAGGATCTTGATTTAACTTTAAATTTTTACGTTTACAACTAAAGGACAAACAATAACACATCAACGAACTTAATGCAATAGAATAAAAAGTAAAAACAAGTTTGACAAGTGACAACTGTTTACTGTACAGTCAACAGTGTAGCTGTCGGCAGAGGCAAGAGATATGTTAATGATACAAATAACAAAGTTGTGTATGTCTGTACGATATATTTGATTTCTATTCAGCTCGGATAACTTTTATCTTTTTTTACAGTTAAATATGAAATTTTATGAAAGACTGGTTTTGCTGCATTCTTCCAATTTCTTTTATTATATAATATGTTTGAAATGTTGTAAACATGCCTTAAGCTTTTTTTAAAAAACGATTAAAAAGCCATTCAAAGTTACATGTGTTAAAAATTATAAGATCCTTGAATTGTTACTTATTATTTCAAATAAATAAATAAGTAATAATCATTGTTAGTGGAATTTTATTAACATAATATCATTAAGTCTTAATAGAAAAATGTGATTTTGTTCTCCAATTTTGTTTTTCAATTTCCGAAGAAGTTTAATAGGTATACTGGGAACAAATAATATACAAAATTATCAAAACGAAGGAAACAAAAAATCTTCATATATGTTAAACTAGCGACTCACCCTCGCTTCGCTCGGGTTCGTCCCTAGCTTGCTTCCCCATACAAACTTTCATCCCCATTTTCACCCCCTTAGGGTATAATTACCGGGATAAAAAGTATCCTATGTCCTTCCCAGGGTCTCAAACTATCTTCTTACCAAATTTCATCTCAATCGGTTCAGTAGATTCAGATATTACCCCCTACAACGTCACAAACTCACAATTCACAAACTCATAAGCTTTACCTCTTCATAATATTAGTATTAGATTGTCGTATTATCTATGAAAAAAAACCATCATATAGAAATATCAATAGGCTACGACGGGCTCGCGGTTCCATACCTAAGTGACCATCATATTATCTCTTTAACCATTTGTCCAAATTATATGCAGTAAAAGGGAAAAGTTTTTTGTTTTAAACATTTTAGACGATAAATTTACTTATTTTGATAAGAATTCAAAATTGTTGATAATTATATGACCTATGACTAATAAACATTACCTACCGATTTAAATTATTTTTTTAATATAAAAAACTACTTTTTGTGACTTAAATATAAAAGTTAGACATATGCTATCGCTGACTTTTTTGTAGGCATTATTAAGCTCTACAACTTTTCTCTAGAACATAATCATATATCTCTCATCGTTAAGGCACCGTTCATAAGAAACGTTTTCGTTCGACCGTTTTTTCTCCGACTTACTTTGCAAATCCGACTACCATGCCTATGACACTCAGAAAGAACGTGGCTTTCTATTGGTAAAGGAATTTTTAAAATCGGTTCAGTAGATCCAGAGATTACCCCCTACAACGTCACAAACTCACAAACTCACAATATCACAAACTTTACCTCTTTATAATATTAGTATAGATATAGTACATATATTTATTGGCATGAAATAAAATATTTAAACTACTATAATTAGATTTTGATCAGTCATTTTGTATTGCTTATATAAGTATAAATTATGTAGGTATATTATACTTCGTCAATCGATCATGATGTTAAATTACTTTCAACTTTTTTGAAGTAATAACTTAATTAACAATGTATGTTGACTGTTATCCTTACAAAATATGTAAGGATAACAGTCCATATACATTGTTCATTTACGATGGATGATTGACTATATAATGAACTAGCGGCTCACCTCACTCCGCTCGAGTTCGTCTCTAGTTACGTTTTAACGTTTAGTATAGATTTCTGAGATATAGATATTTTCCGGCAGTAAAAGGCGCCTAATATGTTAACCCAGATACCCAGCTTATAAACATATTAAATTTCATCAAAATCGGTCCAGTGGTGTTCTTGCGATGCGTTCCCAGATTTTCGAAAATGCTATATAACGATTTATTTAATTTTATTGAATATTATAAGGTGTTTTCCCGTGAGAATGAGATAATCTCCCGCGGTTAAAAATAGCCTATGTCACTCTCCAGCCCTCCAACTACCTCCACACAAAAAATTACGCCAATCCGTCACTCAGTTACGACGTGAAAGGAGGACAAACAAACACACTTTCACATTTATAATATTGGTGCTAGTATAGTATTACTTATATGATGTGATATTAGTATTGATGTTTGCAGAATCAGATGTCAAGTTGCGAAAAACTTTAAAGAATACTCAATTCAGTTAAAGACAATGGCGCTTGCCACAAGACGTTTTATGTATGAATAATCAGCGACTTACCCTTGTCTGTACAGGTAAAATAGGTTATCTAAACTGGTATCTTTTATATGTATAATGACACATTTAGTAAGCAAATTTTAATTACTAAAAGTAGCTTATATGTTACTTCAGTATACTAATTTAATTGATATCCATAGTCGTTTTAGATTATACATACAAAATATGCAACTGAATGAGAAGAATATCTTTTTTAAGCCAATAATTTTTTTAAACATTAATAGTAATAGACATTAAAAAAAAACAAGTTATTTTTTTAAATATGTATTTTATAAATTAATTAGCGGTACAAAATCAACTTCATCTATGAAGTGAGAAAATTACAACGGTCACATAAAAGCCTTATATAGAATATGCATATGTAAAGGCTACAACACAAATAAACAAACTATTAAAACATACTCAAAAGGTTTTCGTAAAGTAAATGAAACACTTCTGATTAAAAAAAGCAATTGGTTAATTTTTATTACAATAAACGAAAAAAAATCAAAAAAATATATTTCTCTGCGAATATGCACTTTATTTGTGAATTAAAAAATTAAAAAGTATAAACAAATGTAAAAAGGGAAGTGTAATTTGTACCAATAATAAAACTGACTAGGCATGAATATTTTTGGCATAAACAAACAAAAGTATTTATAGAATGTTAAGGTAAATTAATAAAATTGAATATTTTGAATTTAAAATATTACTTACTTTATCTTTATATGTCACATGGAAATTATAATAACCGTCAAATTATAATTTACCAAAAAATGTCCAGTGATATTGTAAGGAAAGTAGACACTAGTGAAATTATAATTTAACAGATCTTACAATTTTCCTGCAACATGTAATTAAGTTATACGTAATGTCTTTAAACAATGCAATTTCAATTGTTTTGTTTCTTTGAAACAAGTAATATGACAAAAATCAAATTAATTTTAAGTAAAAACATATCTAATAACTATTATATTTGAAAAAAATAATAATATGTATTTAATTATAAGCCAAGTGTTTTCTATTTGTTATTTTGAGAACCTGCAGCAATAAACTAGTTTTATATTTTTTTATTTTTAAATTTGAAGCTTCTGTCAAAGAAGTCTTTACAGTCAGATCTAATGAAAATATAGGAAATAAATATAAATACTATTTTGCCAATATATGTTTTTATACGATTATTATTTCATATTAGGTATATAAAAATTTAAGTGGACACATATTTTCATAAATGATGTAGTTAGGACCAAACTATTTATTTCCTATAATTTAATTTTCTTTTTCTATACATTCTTATGTAAGTTATATTCACAATATAACACTTACCTATTTCAGTGAACTATCTTTCCAATTCAAATAAAACCGAATACTTATATTTTTCTCGCTATAACATTCCTAATCTAATTAATTCGAGTAACAACATTTCCAACAACTTTCCCAGTCTCGATATTTTAAAATTGATCATCCTTAAAGGATAAATAATTAACAATTATAACAATCATCGATATACATACAGGCTGTTTTTTTTTCAATAATACATACTAAAAAATTTATTGGAGTTCAAAATTTGATCTTTCTAATCCAGCCTGTTGTGTAAAGATTGCTTTATCTAAGGATTTTGACTTTGAACTTTAAATATTAACTTAATAGTCTAAGAGTACCATAAAGTATGTTTTGGATAATACAATTAATATATTAAGAATGAATGAAAAACAAAATGGAAACCATATGTAAGGTTTCCATTGCGTATATAGTAGATATAATTTCAATACACTCTTCACAATTTTTTTTATTTACTTTCATACTTTTTCCCGCCAATAATAACAGAAACATTACACTTTTTTTATTTGTTTTTTTTTTTTAATTTTAACATAAATATTTAATATGCCCTAAATATACATTAAGGGTTTTAAAAGTTGTTTACATTCTTACCATGTTTCAAATAATTTGATAGTTATAATAAATAGCACAACTATTTTAGAAAAGGCAATTATTGGGCATATTTTAATTCTATTTCAATATAAGTTTTACTAGACAAATCCATATTGATGTCAAAGCTGTATTAATTTTTGATAGTTATCATATTAAAAAAAACTATAACAAGCAACAATTTATAAATAATTTGAATCATAATTGAAATTACCTAGAATATAGCTACAATCAATTTATAAAACAAAAACATAACTTCTTCTTACAAAGTAAAATTTGCATCAAAACTCTAACCTCACTTGTTTGGATATTTTGAAGGAATATTTACTTAATATTTATTGTAAATAAATGCATGTATATTCTATTGAAAGTTGACTCGATAATATGAGTAAGTCACTAGATCTTTTTATAGCATTTTTTTTCCACGAACAAACAGTCTTTATATACAAATATAAAAATAAAAAAAAATCATATTACAATATGATTTTTTTTAACATGACAAATAATTATTTTTAATTTCATATTGCTACCTCCAGAAAGGAAACAAGTGTTCTTTATTATGTAATCTCTATCTAATCTTTGTTTTGTCACATTGGCAAAGTTAATTGTGCTTTAATACCATCTCTTTATGTATGATATCCATGTGGATGGAGATGTAGCAATACAATAATGTGATATCATGGCAAAGCCAGATTCAAAAGTAACTAGTACAAACTTTTAAATTTGGACTCATTTCTTTTGTTTTGATAATCTCTTAAATTATTTAGGAATATGGCACTACTAATATAATATTTAAAGAGATATATTTTTATATTTGTATATAATGCTATATATTTCTTCAAATGAACCGAGACTCTGTCTGAAGCCTTTATCTTGTAGATAAGATCCAATATTTGATGAATTGTCTCTGAAAAATGTAAAAGTTTACTATCAATGTCAATGTACTGAACAATGACCGACCAATGATCTAAGTCAAGGTTATTTTGACATAGAATATTTTACATCTTTTACATAATATGTAAAATAGTGAACCACAAATATACATAGAGGTCAAATACATAACCCCCCTTTTAGGATTCACCACAGTCGAGTGAAAATATTGTCTAGGACATAGTTTCTCAAAATATGGTACACAAACCAACATAATGATTGCGATTTAATTATTCCTTACAATCAAATGACTCTCATAATTATTATAGTGTACAAATGTACACGCAGACACAAGTGCACTCTCTATTCCTCTCACTCTCATACTCCGGTGGGGCGACTGCTCGACACGACCAGAAAGAGTTAAGGCGCAGGATCGACGGCTTTACGTGCTCTCCGAGGCACGGGGGTGAAACACCGCCAACTTACCAACTCCGGGCTGTTACGGAAAATATGTTAAGAGAAAAACTCAATAATTAAACTTAATCCGATTCGGGACTCGAACCCAGGACCTCTGGATCTGTAGCCGTGCATGTCAACCACTAGACCATCAAGCAGATAAACATAATAAATTAATCACCTGATACCACTAGAGATTCCCGATTTGCTCCTCAAACAGTCTCTTACCACCTTCGAGTTTCTTCTCTGAATCTTTACCAAATTTGACCATGTAGTCTTCCAATCTTATTAACCACTGAGCCCAATGCTCTCTTAGTTTATCCGTAGATAGATGATACACATCTGCTTTAGAGCCATCGGTATATGCTATCACAAGTAACGCGTCTCGAACATTCAAGTGTTTGTAGTTGAGGTCGTTGCAAACCGCTCCGAAATATGCGGCCAATTGGACAGGGTTGTCGTAAGTCATTGATATCGATTTGCGAGGTTTATCCGATTTTTTCCATTCGATTAGCGTTGGTTTGTCTCTGGAAATCGATAATTTTAAAAATGTAACTTCCCGTTTGTTTCTATTTGAATATATTTATATTACATATATCTATATATTATTCTATCTGCTGAACAGATTTCGATAAAATCTAGCTAAAACAGCTGAAGGCAAAAGATTGTAAAAAATATATTCTATGAATAATGAAATAAAATCAATATAATCATAATAATTAGTATAATTTGTCATTATAAAAACGCCGATAAAAACAATAGACTTATTTTGCATTAAAATTACAAATACTAATAATGATTGAATAAAATTACAAATACTAATAATAATTGAATGAATAATTAAATAGTAAGAAAACTTTAATGTTTAGTGTTTGTAGGTAAATTAGGTTAGAGTTAATAATTATGATTTATATTTTATATATTTATAGTACATTAGAGACTCACATCGCTACGCTCGGGTTCGTCTCCAGTTACTTTTTAACGTCTCGTATAGATTTCTCAGATACTAGATATTTTCCCGCAGTAAAAGTATACTATATGTTAACCCGTCTAATCAGCTATCATTGTACCAAATTTCATAAAAATCTGTCCAGTGGTTTTCTTGTGATGCATTCCCAGACAGACAGACAAAATTTTTAAAAACTAGATTCTGCCTCTGTATCGATAATAAATAATAATGACTATTTCAATAATATTTTCCATAAAATATTTATTGTACAGATTCAACTCAGAGTTTTATTATATAGATTAATCATCGCTATTTGTGATCAATATTGACTGTAGTTGTAAGATAAATTTCATCCTATTAAAAGATTTCCAAAAGCTAAGTTTAATGGAGAAGTTTCCAAATTTTTTTGTGTATTAATTATAAAAATGTAGGTAAAATATAACAAAATAATAAAAATACATTATAAAAATAAAAAAAACGCGACTGCATAAAAGCTAACTCAAAGATGAAAACTAGTTGACAAAGGAATATAATACAGCTGGAGACATACACATTTCATTCTTGCCACGAGATGTATGCACATATGCCGATGACGAGAATAACGTGCACTAAGGTACTTCTTACCAAAAGTATGTATAGAATTTCTGTATTAGAATGAAAGTAAAACAAAAGCATACTCACTCATAATCCGCAATAGCATCAAATATCCCCCTATATTTTAATACAGGATGTATTACATTAGATTCAATCGCTTTAGGTGCAGATATGCTCTTCAGAACTTCGGCTACTGACACCCAGACTCCTTCGACATCTTTCTCTATACGTAACTGTGTTCTTGCCTGTGTGAAGTATGTTTTGATAGTATTGTGAAACTTTGTACCAACTGCTAATTGTGCTGTGGATCATAAAAAAATTATAACTAATGAGATTTTTTTTATTAATAAAACTTATTTCAATTGCAAAGATAAAATAGTATAATATTTGAGGGCCAATAAGGATGGATATATGTATAAGATTATATTGTGTTTATTTTTTCTTCATTAAAATGTACAAATAGGTACCATGTTATTTGTATTCCTTATTTAAAATTTGACAGTAATTTTGGCACTTTTTGACAATAAAATTTGTTAACCAACTATTCTATGAATAATACACTATACTACATAATAACTGCTCAACGTAAAAAACAAAGTTATATGTGATACACTGCTACAAACTATATTATGTGTAGCTCTAGCTAACATTTTTAAAAGATCTTTAGTGTATGAAACTCCATAACATGTAATATAATAGACTTGAAAGAATTATCTGAACTTTAAATATAATAATCAATTTAAGTATTCAAAAGTGTCTTCTTCTATTCTAGCATTATATATATCATGCACTTTAGTTTTGATGTGAAACATCTATTGGCGCGGAGTAAAACCAACTCGGGGTGTGACGGCAAATGGTGACGTGACGCTATCAATGTCATGCTATGCTACTACCATCTATTCCCTTGTGTGTATGGGAACATATACATATACATGCTCCATGTAAAATAGTCTCTTAAAAATACTTACATATTTTTTATACTATTTATGAATATATATATATATATATATATATATATATATATATATATATATATTTATTAGCGAAACTATATTTATTCTTTATTTTACTCTATATTTCGTTATAGGTTTATTAACTTTGAATTCTAATATTAACATAGATGTTTCACATCTGCCGAGTGTTCCATAACGGCCAACTTTTTTTTAAATACTGTATTACTATTTACATCTTAATTAGCTTATTTCAAGTTAGTTAATTGTGATAGCTATATTTTTATCTAAGCATTTTGAATTTACAATTTTGTTCGAAGATATAAATAAAATATTTTAGGAACATTTAAATTTAAATGGCTGGACAATAGACAGATTTTTTTAATGGTGGCACATATTTCAATTTTAGAAATAAATATTCTAATTTTTAATTTCACTCCTTTTGGCATTTTACCTACACTTTTTATACTGTTCTGTGAAGTATATGTATAATACATCACCATGCCAAGTAATTATCAGTACAATGTCTTTTGCTATTCATAGATTTGAAACTTTACAAATGACCTAATAAATAACCTATGGACTATTTTAAACTTTAGGCAAAACAAAAATCTAAAACTAATTGACTAAAATTAATACATGGTTAGTGTTAATATATAGTGAAATATTTATATTTATAAATATATAAATTAGATTAGAAAATATATTGGTAGTTGTCTTCTTAAAGCATAAACATTTAGGACTAAACTAAGAATGTGTCTGACTGGGTTCATCTTGAAAACAGGTTTATCAACCTTAACAAGAACTTAAAGAAAGTTATATTCTAAAAAAATAGTAATGATAAGAGGTTTGACATTTGGATGTCGAAGTATGTTTGTTTTAGACGTGTACAGGATAGTATTACTAATTAATAGATAAGATCAAGTGTATATTAGTGACTTTTAAGATTAATGAGATAAACATCATCTTTTCCTCTAAATAAAAATAGTTATAGTCACAGTATAAAGACTTACATTAAAAGCTTAATCGCTTAGAATATTCATATAAATCCACTATTTACTAAAATACCTACAAAAACTTATAAAAATGAGAAAAATATGATTATCAATTTTTTCCCATAGAAAAATATGAAAATATATGCAAGCATCAAATGTAAGGAGACACATACCTTGGTGAAATCTATTAAATTCTTCTAAACCCATTTCTGCTATTCTTTCTTGCTTCCATTTTTCTAACAACTTCCTAGATTCCTCTGTCAGTGTCTTGTTTAATATCAAAGTCACAGAGGGATATTGTTCAGTGTAATCATTCTGATGCTGTTTTATCTGGAGAATCTTATCCTCACTGGCATAACCAGGCTGGGCTGGGGAGCTCCTAGTTGCGTTATTCACCGCTACAGTTTTTAAACATCTTACTTGTGTCCCATTCAATAGAACTCCCACTAAATTGAAACAAGTCCTTGTATTCTGCCACATATTGTAGTTCATCACTTTAACACTTTTAATAACACTGTTAAAGCTTAAAGACGAACTTGAGCTCTGAGAGTGTCTTAAATCAATAAACTTTTGCGTACTTTTCTTCAACGTATTTGTCTCGTTGTTTTGATTCGATCTATTTTTAGCTGAAACAGATAATTTTATACATGCAAATATGTAAGCGAACACATCACAAGGCGCCAAATGTCATATGATTGAATACGAAATGATTGTACGCATCTACGTCTTATTTATAAATTGTATTTACTTTGTAGTTTGTCTAGAACTTAAACGTAATTAGAAACTGCGTGTTCGAAATTAAGATCGTATTTTATAACAAAGACACGAGTAGGTAGTCCATAAGTTCGTGTAACAAATAGAAAGTAGAAATATTCCAAGGTAAATTAAACTACATAATACCAAGGTTTTAACGAACTAACCTTCCTTTCGCAGTGCCAAATTGACTTTTCTTTGCTTATTCGTCTCTAGCAATGGACCGAAAAGATCCTTGTTTTCTCTATTGTAAAGCTTAATTCTTTCTGCCGGTTTCAAGATAGAAGCGGGTTTAACTACTTTGGTCCTGACAGTATGTTTTTCTATAGATATTTTTCGACCTACGAGGCAGAGCGGTCGAAACATGCTGGAAACTAGGTCTAGAATGAATATTGAATACCTAATGGAAAGCTATCGATTTCTTTTATTTAAAGCTTTTTTTGTTTCTTTTTGGATTTCCTCTAGTCTTTTAGTTTTCAATAATAGGATAACTGATAAGTTTGATTAATGATTTGACAATTAATAATTATTTTGTAATAAATTGTAACGTTCCATTACCCAAATTATGAATCATTGCCAACGATAATAAACATTTTAATTTATGAAAAATGAAGAAAATGGTATTTTATTTTATTTTTAATAGATTTCTTAAGTTGTATTACAACGAGTGTATTGAATTATAAATGTTATTATTGTTTTTAGCTATATATTTTGAACTTTAAAAATGATGAGGTTTTATTGTGCTGGTGTATAATAATTATTCCCCATTTAAAGCCATAATATGGAATAAAATATCAGGGCTGCCACATAACAGTCGTTTATTTACCCGACCAATAAACCTCAAAATACTCGGTTTATCCCGCCGCGCCGGCGCCAACCATAAACAGGATACTTGAAAATATTTCTTCTTAAGTAATTAATTCATATTTTATATAGAATAAAAGAAAGTACTAATGTTAGAAAAAGAAGTTATTGTAATCAGTTCTCAATTAAAAAGCTTTAAATTATTGAATCAAACATTAAAAAAAGCAGCCATGACTCATGTGAACTGCCGACAGAAGTGAAAACTTTAAAACTATAAAGTATAAACACTAAACATTTGTCATTTTTGGATATTCAAATGATTGTTTGATCTTAAATTTAAGTTTGTTAATTAAAACTGTTAACATTTATCTGGTTTTGACATCTATCGGCACTCAGAGCAACAATTATATTTATTGTCATACCTCCTTTTTTTCGGATACCTTCCCGCAGGGCGAATATTGCAACAACAGTATCTGTGTTCAATGAGTTTCGAATTTCGATGAGCTGTTTTAATGTTTTAAATTACTATTATGATAATGTTGCCAGCTAAACTAAAATACCCGATTTTACCACGCTCAATGAAAATACCCGACAAAATGACCCGCTATAAAAAATCGCCTAAAATTACCCGCTTTTCGAGTTGGCAGCGCTTTGAATTTCCATACCCAAACTTTCTGCCATCTAGTGGTGGTCCAAATAACCACTTTAAGAAATAAATTGACATTAAACCGTATAGATGGCTCTGTGTATTAAAATATGAATATATGAGACAAATTACAAAAAAATACGTATATTATAACGATTTTAGTAAATATATAATATTTTTTGTAAATATTATTATTATACAATATGAAGAATAATAATAAAGTAAACTAGAAAATAGTTGAAAGGTTTATAGGTTATCTGTGACAATTGGCGGGAAACATAGATAGAACAGACCATAGAACTTGCTGTAGAGACGCAGGCGCGAAGCCGGCATTTGAAAAAGCCGGCTGTCAGCTGTGTGGTGCTCTCAATGTATGCTAAAGTTTATTCACTGAACAAGCGTTCGTAAACTATAGTGAAACAATAAAGCACTTATGAAAGAACTTGATTCATTCAAACATTTAATAATACTTGATACTGTTAACAAAATAATATAATATGAACTGAAAAGAGTAAAGTGAGTGTTAATAACTGCGAGTTCAATAAAATTCCGTAATTATATTTACAGGTAAGCAAATGTTTATTATTTAATTTATTTTTATTTGAGATGTTTAGTTAATTTAAAATATTTTTAAACGCTCTACAATCGATAAATAATTATAAATTATAATTGATTTGGTTCGTCCGTATGAAAATAATTAATTTTACATGTGTTTACGTTTTCATATAAATTAAAAATATAGTATACCGAAATTTCATGAATTATTTTTTGTTTATGTACAAATAAATATTTATTCCTTATTCATTTAATAGCAAGTTATTTTTTAAACCAATTCCATAAACAAAATTAAAGTTGCAGCTCAATTTACAATGTTATGTTCTAAATGAAATGAATGTAACATGATCATATTTTTGTCCAGCTAATAGTAATTATTAAAATGTTAAAATCGATCAAAAATTGGCAGTAAAATATATAATAAATGAACAGTTATTAATAGAAAATAATAACATGGTAAAAAATATTATAAATTTAGAAATCAATTCGCAAATAGGAAAATAATTTAAGATTTTTCTTTTATTTATGCTTTGCATAATTGTGGGGCTAATTTTCGTAGAGCTTTTTAGCGATAATATAGATACCTAATACTTACTTCTAGATACGTACATTAATTATTGTAAGTAGTAGGTAATTTCGTCATAAAGATTATCTTTTATTACTACGTATTTTTATATTTACAAAATTGCATAGAAAATTATTTTAGTAAAAAAATAATAAAAGCAGCATTAATAATTATGTATTTTTATGAATGTTTTTTTTGCATTTACCTTGCTTTTATGTATGTACGGAAATCTTAATAGTTGAAATTTGATAATGTAACAAAGCGATGTACAGTGGCTCTCCATGGCTACAAGTAACACGTTCAGTGTTTGGATCTTTATAGAAATGTATAGGTGATTTCGGTATTGATATTTTTTTACGTTTAAATTCATTGAAGGTATGAGAAACAATATTAGATTTCTAAGGTTTATTTAAAAATATATTTTTATATACGATTACGTTTAAAAATACCTACCACTTTACTCTACCCTAAAATAAATGAATGAATGAGTGTTGCTAATAAAAATATGCAACTTAAATATTTCTTTTATTACTTATGGATACCACAAATAGATCATATATAGCACATTCTTATTTGATTATATATTTCAAAGTTTAAATTATATTATTTTTATATTACGTGAAAAAACTCGACAAGTAAAATTAGCCAATAAACAAATGAGGTAAACTGACGAAGAAATAGAGATTGGAAACTATCTTAGCTCTATTAATAATGCTTCAGTCACTTGCCTACGAAACGAACTACGAAAACAAAGGATTTTTAAAGCTAATAAATATTTTTATTAGTAAAGTGTTAAAGAATGAAAATTTTATGAGGTGGTATTTTTGATCTTAAATATATTTATATTATAGCTTAAAAAATAAAAAGCTCAACCTTGTTCCATTATTAGATCAGTTTGAAGGGAGCTTTATTATTGTATGGTTTTCACATAAAAAGTTTTAAATCGATACGACGTTTAAAAATCAAAAGCGGTCAAGAATGATTGTATTATAGTCACTTAGAAGAAAAGCTAATATAAAAAAGCACATTACAAAGTCGACGAAATATCTATACATGAAATAAAATTCTGAGTCGAATCTGTACTTGAAATATTTTTTGGAAAATTTTATTGCAATAATCATTATTATCGATACAGAGGCCAAATCTATAGTTTTTTAAAATTATTGTCTGTCTGTCTGTGTGTGTGTGTGTGTGTGTGTGTCTGTCTGTCTGTCTGTCTGCCTATTTGTCTGGGAAGGCGAGAAAACCACTGGACATATTTTGGTGAAATTTGGTATGATGATAGCTAGTTATCCGCGTCAACATACAGGATAAATTTTACTGCGGGAAAATATCTCATCTTTGAGAAATCGATACAAAACGTCAAAACGTTACTAGGGAGGATGAGTCGCTTGTATATAAAATAAAGTACTAGTATACTGTATATGTTACTTATGCAATTTATATTAATTATTGCATTCTTATTATTTTATATCTTTCAACTTTACCGACTCAAATAAGCCTAGTGTTTTAGAAGGTTTGAAGGAACAAAGGCCCAACACGTAGAGGCTCTTTAAGTTTAAACTTTAAACTTGTTTAATGGGACGCATTAGCCGGGATCCATCTTTGAATAGTCCATAGGGAATTGCCCTAAGATAGTCACCGGCCAATATGTAGGAACAATGGAAAATAGAGACAACCTAATAGTGCCATTCTTAGAACTCTGGATCTCTCGCTCTCCACTAGACGGTCTCCGCCCAAATCGGCGTAATACTTCAGCCGTATGATCAGCGTCATTGGTTAGGTGTCGAGAAGTGTGCTGGTTTTTCCATATATAAAAAAACTTGTGAGCGGGTTTGCTTGTTATTTTACGCAGATTGAGCGTTTCCACCCATTTAACTACTTAGCTCTTGTAGTTGTTGTTGTTGAAAGATTGTTGTCTGTCTCAGGCCCGCGATGTTGCCACTCACCAAAAGTTCGCAACTGCCCTGCGGGCTTAATGCTATTATTGTAGCAAGAGTTTGTATCTTTAAAATGAAAAACACTTTTACATTTCAAATGTTATGTCATTTTTATTCAGCAGTTTAAGTCGATTTTATGTTTCGCATCTCCGTTATTCATCTCCGGCTTTTCGCACTGTTATCCTAATATATTCTATGCAAATAAGATGGCACTGCAAATTGAATTTAAAGCGTTACAACATGAGAGTCAATTTGCTAAAAGCGGTTTTCGAGATTAGCTCCAACTTGTTATACGGTTTGTTCGCGAGTGTGTTTTAGTACTCAAACACGGTAGGACAGTTTACACAAAGTTACATTATCCATACAATATCACATATGACTTGAGTAATTTCCTGCATAAAACAAGTTTAATATTCAAGTTTGCAAGAGAAGCGCTCATATGAACAAATTAAATTTAACAAATTATAAATAATTCTAAAATTATTTATCGCTACTGATTTTGATGATATTAATGTTGAGTTCAGAAATAAAATGGAAATAATGATGGGGAAAAAAATGGTAAATTGTTTCAGAAAAAAGAAAAGGATTGTTGGTAGCAAAAATTTTAGAAAAAAAAATGTTATAATGCTAATATATTTTTTTTATTATTATAGCAACAGGGATGTCAAATATCCATAATTTTTCCTTAATTAGTAAAACAACAATGGTAAATAAATCTATAATATTTTATAACCAAAAAAAGCTATTTTTGTATGAAATTGTCCTTACTAATAGAGACTACCACTAAATTCAAGTGATATTTTTTCTTTCTATTCAACGCAAAAAGTCACGCTATTGAAAAATATCTATAATATAA